CCACGGGTAACTAGATTGCACAGTCCCTGCTGGGTTGCACAGACCTCTCTGGTGCCTCCACACCCTGCAGGTCCTGCGGGCTGGCAGCTGGATTGCATCACTCTCTCTCGGGCTCAGGCTTTCCATTGCACTTGTGGGCTCTGGACTGCACGGGCCTCTGTGGAGCCCCAGGTCCTGCTGCTGACAGCTGGGGAGTGCTGCCGCCTGGTGGCGCTCAACTTTTGCTCAGCTTTTGGTGTATTTTTTGGGGATGGGTCTCAGCTGCTGATCTGTGCTTGTGTTGCCTGAGGATGGATGTCTGCTTCCCAGCCTCTGTTGCTGGGGATATATCTCGACTCTGATCAGGCTGATACTATGGGGGATGGTGCTGGGCTCTGGGCTGTCTGCAGCTTCCACGACCAGCACCTTGGGAGCTCTACTACTAAGCACAGGTCTGTGACAACACAGGGTGTCCAGTGGTCCGATGGTGCCAGGTGTGCTGGTGGGCTTAGGTTGTTGGCCCTAGTCACTCCCACTGCCTCCTCTCAGGGATGACCCGGGATCTTCCAAAATGGTGGGACCTCCCTGCAGCGCATGGAGAAGCGCCCTGAATGGCCGCTAACCACAGTAGCTGGCTGCTCCCATGCACAGCACAGAAACTTTCTGCTCAGTGGCTCTGCACTGCTCAAGTTTTGTTGTACACCTTCATGTCCACTTACACTCTCTCACACACTCGCTCACTCTCTCACATACTCACTGTCCCTCCTTTTTTTCCTTTAGATCTAAAGCAGCTATTTTAAGAACAGTTGGCTCTTGAAAAATACAGGGGTTGGGAGTACCAAACTCCCACATAGTTGAAAATTTATGTATAACTCTTGACTCTTAATTACTAATAGCCTACTGTTTATCAGAAGCCTTACCAATAATATAAACAGTTGATTAATGCATATATTATATGTTAAGTGTATTTCTATATTACCATAACTAAGCTAGAGAAAAAATATTAGGAAAATCATAAGGAAGGGAAAATACATTAATAGTACTATACATACTTATTGGGAAAAAAACCCACTTATAGCACTGGCCAGTGTGGTTTAGTTGGTTGAGCATCGTCTCGAGCACTGAAAGGTTGCTGGTGTGATTCCCAATTGGGGCACATACCACATTGTGAGTTTGATCCCCGGTCGAGGTACGTGAAGGAGGCAGTCCATTGATGTTTCTTTCTCACATTGATGTTTCTCTATCTCCCCTCCCTTCCTCTCTCTCTAAAATCAATAAAAACATATTAAAAAATATCCACTTATAAGTGACTCATGCATTTCAAACCCATGTTGTTCAAGGGTCAACTGTATGTCCAACCATGTGGAAAGAACTAAAGGAAAGTAAGAGGACAGTGTCTCATTCAATATAGAATATCAATAAAGCCAAATACAGAAATAACTAAATAGAGAGGGTGGGATCAGGAGGAGGGTGTTAATGGGGGAAAAGGAGAAACATCTGTAACAAAAATAAATTAATAAAAAAAAATGTCCACACTACTTAAAGTCATTTATATAGTCAATGCAATCCCTATAAAAATTTTATTGGCATTTTTCACAGAAATCAAAAAGAAAAATTCTAAAATTTGTATCTATCCACAAAAGAACCTGAACAGATAAACAAATCTGGAGAAAGAACAAAACTGGAGGCACTATGCTCCCTGATTTCAAACTTTATTACAAAGCTAAAGTAATCAAACAGTATGGTACTGGCATAAAAATAGAGACATTGGTCAGTGGAACAGAATTGAGAGCCAAGAAATAAACCTATACAAGTAGGGTCAACTAATCAAGAATACTCAATGGGGAAGGGACTGTTTCTTCAATAAAAAGTGCTGACAAAAATGGATATTCACATGTGAAAGAATGAAATTGGACCCCTGTCTTACACACCACTCACAAAAATTAACTTGAAATGGATTAAGAACCTAAACATAAGACCTGAAACTATAAAACTCATAGAAAAAAACATAGGTAAAAAGCTCCCTGACAGTGGTCCTGGCAATGATTTTTTGGATATGACACCAAAAGCACAAGCAACAAAAGCAAAAATCCACCAGTAGACTACATGGAAAAGCTTCTGCAGCAGCCTGGTTTAATTTCCTCTTTGCCTACCAATGAAGATGGGTGCTTTCCCCAAGTGCAGACCTCTGAGAGCCACTTGCTTGGAAACTGCAAAAAGAATATGTTCCAGTGTTCTAACACACTAATGAATGTGCAATAAGAAAACAGGATTTCTAAAGCTTTTCATATGCGACAACATGGATAGACCTGAGGACATTAGGCTAAGTGAGGGAAGTCAGACACAGAAAGATAAGTACTATATGATCTCACGTATATGTGGAAACTAAAAAAAGCTCATAAAAACATAGTAAAATGGTACTTACAAGAGGATGGGAGGTGGGGGAATAGGATATTGCTGAAGGGTAAAAACTTGCAACGAGTGCTACAGGCATATTGTACTACTCAGAGTGCCTCGGAGATATTGTGGGTTCAGTTCCAGACCATTCAATAAAGTGAATATTGCAACAACAACAAAAAAAACCTGATAGAAATTATAAAGTAGAAAAGTACAATTCCAAATTAAAAATTCAAGAGCAGATTTGAGCAGGCAGAAGAAAGAATCAGTGAACTTGAAGTTACATCAATTGAGATTATCCAGTCTGAGGAACAGAGTGAATATAAAGATGAACGAGAATGCACAGTGCCTAAGAAACCTGTAGAACACCATCAGGCATGCCAATAATGCATAATAGGAGTCCCAGAATGACAAGAAAGGAAAAGGGAAGAAAGTATTTAAAGACGAATGACTGAAAACTGTCCAAATTTGATGAAAAATATTAATTTACACATCCAAAATCTCAATGAACAGCAAGTAGGATAAACTCATTTTCACATTGAGACACATCATAATCCAGCTTAAGGCCAAAATAATAGAGAAACTTGAAAACATCCAGAGAGAACAATTCTTCATGTTTAAGAGACACCCCCCTCTCCATGAAATTAACAGTGATTTCTCAAAAACCATGGAGCCCAGAAGGTTGTGGGATGATGTATTGAAAGGAAAAGATTGTCACTGAGAATTCTGTGTCTAACAAAATCAAGGAGAATATTAAGACATTCCCACATGAACAAAAGCTTATTTTGCTAGTAGACTTGCCCTGCAAGAAATACTAAAGGGAGTCTTCAGACTGAGGACATTAGATAGGAACTTGAAACCACTTGAAGAAATATAGAGCACTTTAAAATGACTATATAAGCATATATGAAAGGAGGTATAAGTGTATTTTTTGTAACTTTTTCTCTTATGTGAGTTAAAAGACTGCATAAGCCAGTAATTGTCAGTCTCCTTTGGGTACATGATGTATAAAGATGTAATTCATATAACAATAACAGCATGAATGAGGAGCAGGAGCTTTATCAGAGCACAGTTTTTGAATACTGTTGAAATTAAGTAGTTATTAAAAGTAGATTGTCATGCCCTGACCGGTTTTCTCAGTGGTTAGAGCGTCAGCCTGCAGACCATTGAGTCATGGTTTTGATTCTGGTCAAAGGCAAATACATCAGCTGCAATTTGTCCCCAGCCCTGGTTGGGGTCATGTGGGAGGCAGCCACTCATGTGTGTGTGTCTCTCTCTCTCTCTCTCTCTCTCTCTCTCTCTCTCTCTTATCCTCTTTCTCCCTCCTACTCTATCTGAACAAAAATGGAAAAATGTCCTCAGGTGAGGATTAAAAAAAAAAGTAGATTGTCATGAGTTAGCTTATTTCAGCATAAATAAAATGTGAATTTTGTTTAAAGTTAAAAGAAAAATATTTTAATAGTAATCTTCAAAGCGACCATTATGAATTAAAAAAACTATGGTGTAAGAAACAACAGGGCAATAAAATAGGCTAAAAAATATTCAATACAAAAGAAGACAGTGATAGAGGAAGAGAAGGAAAAATACATAGAAATGTAGAAATAAGCAAAATGACATGTAAATACTATATTTTGTTGTTGTTGTTAATCCTCACCCGAGGATATTTTTCCCACTGATTTTAGAGGGAGTGGAAGGGAGGGGGGAAGAGAGAGAGAGAGGAGAGAGAGAGACATCAATGTGAGAGAGACATATCGATTGGTTGCCTCCTGCATGCTCTTCAACCAGGCTGAGGATCAAATCTGCAACCCAGGTACATGCCTTTGACTGAGAAGTAAACCTGCGACCCTCCAGTGCATAGGTAGATGCTCTAACCACTGACCCACGCCCTAACCACTGACCCACGCCCTAACCACTGACCCACACCGGCCACGGCAAATACATTATTTATGGTTACATCGAATGTATATGAATTAAACATTCCAATAAAAAGGCAGAGATTGGCAGAAGGGATTAAAACTTTATACTGTCTGCAGTAGACACATTTTAGATTCAGAGTCTCAGGCTGAAAATAAAAGAATGGAAACAGATACAGCATGCAAAAAGAGACCTGGAATGCCAAGCTAATAACAGACAAAATAGACTTGAAGGCAAAAAGTATTACTGGAGACAAAGAAGGATGTCTTATAATAAACAGATTAATCTATCAAGGTCTAAAATTTATAAACATATATACACCTGATAACAAACTACATGATGAGCTAACAGAATTGAAGGGAAAAAGATGATTCAGCAGTAAGATTTGGATTCTTCAAAATATGCAGACCCTTGAACTTCAGTTATACCTGCATAACTTGGGGTAAGTGTTGACCTCTGTCCTCGTGTGTGGAATGGAGATCAGAATTGACTGGGTAGACACACAGCACTTCCACCCCACGTGGGGAGCACTCATTATGTCTCGCATCATTTTGCCCATTTAACAGGAGAGGAAATTGAGGTCTACGCAGGCAAAGTGAGGTGTTCAAGCGAATAGATGGTGAAGCCGGGAATTAAAGCTAGGCCCATGACACCACAGTACCTTCTAATGACTGTTCTGTCCTGTCTGGGACTGTGGGTCTGTTTGTCAGGCAGCTGTGTCTGAGACGCTGGCCCTGTAAAGACTCCCAGATGACGCTGGGCACACAAACATGGAAACAGTACTATCTCTGCCGATCGGAGCTGGAGTTCCGGATGGAATCTGGGCGGCCAGAGGACTTCGTCTGCAAAGCCATTGCTGGGCACAAAGGTATGGCGTGGGGATGTGGTAGCTGCGAGCTCTCCCCCACCCGCGCTCCCTGGTCCGGTCTCATGGGGTTTGTGTTTCAGCCAGTGAGTTGGAAAATGCCCCTTGACGGGCATGTACCATGCTGGATTCTCCATCCGTGTTAAGTCATTTAACAGTCACTGTAACCCTGTGAGGAAGGGGGTCATTGCATCTGTTTCACGGTTGCGTGGCTGGTAGGTGGTAGGCAGGCCTGGGCGTGAAACCCACGTTGTAAGCCTGAAGCCCCAGCCCTTTCTGGCACTGCGGTCTCCAGATCATGCCCGTTGTGCTGCTCAGACAACGGAGTGGCGGTCTCACCGGCCCTTCGCCGGTGGAGTGTGCACATTCCAGACATGAGTGCTCATCTGAGGCAAGTCTGTTCTCTTGCAGGAGCGATAGCCAAGCTGGCCTACCTCTCACCCAAGGAGCCCTGCTTCGACGGGCGGGGGAAGTCCGTGGCGTGCACTGTGTCCGCGGACGGCACTGTGCGTGCCTGGGATCTGCGTGAGGTGAGAGGCTTGGCGGGGGCCAGGGTGAGCACCGAGTGCCCTCAGTCTCATGTAGCCATCGCAGGCGACTTTGAGGGGAGGAGTGGGAGCCCCATTGTACAGACGAGAAATCTGAGCAGCAAGAGGCTCGTCGCCAGGTCACGCTTGAAACCGCAGTCTGAGCAATGGCCAACGCCCCGCACTCCTGCGCGCAGTGCGGTTTGCCTCGGGCTGGCAGCTGCCTCCCGGGCTGCGGTTTCCACACTGAAGCTGATGCTGGCCCCCTGGCGGTTGTGCCTGGTGAATTGCAGCTTTTGGTCTCCCCCAGGGGCAAACCTGGTGTGGAAACCTTGAAACTTGATTAGGATTTCACACATTGTTGGTGCTCACAGTTTAAAAGCTTCCCTATCCATTTTCTCATTTGATTCTCACAGCAGCTGAGCAGACTACTCAGTATTATTATCATCCTGATTTTATACGAGTATACACTGAGACAGGAGAGGGGGTGTCTCGGAGTCTGATTCCCTGCAAATTCGGGGTTCTGCCTGGGCCACACATAGCAGTAACCCGACCTCCTATAATGGGTCCTCTGGAAAACTAGGTTACTTTGCGTTTTCGGATGCCCTAGACAAGCAAAGCCCCCCTAGTACCTCCTGGTGAGGTGGGTGCTTATCTCCCTGTGGCTCAGTTCTGCTGGAAGTGACAGGTCCTTTCCCATGAATGCCGTGCACAGGGCAGAGGGGCGTCCCCCAGCAGGGCTCCTGGAGGCTCCCCCTAACTCCCCACAGATCACCCGCCTCTGGCCTGTGAAGAGGGCACCCTGGCTCTCAGCGACCTCTGTTGTGACCTGGGCCTTCCTTTTCAGTCTGCTTGAGTAGCTGGCTCATGGGAGTTGCGTTCTCGTACCTTGTCCAGCCTTGGGTGACTGCCCTGCCCAGACTCTATATCAGAAACCAGGAGAGAGAACGAGTGTGAACTCTGTTTCTTTGGTGATGGCGGGCGGTGCTTTGAAATGACCTGCTGAGATCTGAGGCCACTCGTGGCTGTGGATGCGTGAGTGAGTCTCTGGAAGTCCCAGCTGGACCCCGCCCAGGGTTCCCGGCAGGTGCAGGGTTCCAGACCAGTCCTGTAAGGGGCTCCAGGAACCGGGCAGGGACTTGCAAAGGGAAAATCAGGCGGGGTGAGGGCAGGGGGGCAGGAGGGCCAGAGCAGTTTTGAAATGAATTATGGTTAGTTATCATTTGTTTTGCTTTTGAATCATAAAAGTAAAACTCTGTCAAGGCTTTTATATAAGAGGAAAAATGGAACTAAAAGATCCTTCGTAGAAGTAAAAAGCACGCTCTCCTACTGCTTTCTCAGGTTCTTTTCCCTGAGGCAACCACTTTTTAATCGTTTCTGACTTTAGTTTTCTTGGTGGCAATCAATAAACTGATTTTTATATTTGATTAATAGATACTTTTTCTTGATCTATATACTTTAGAGACAGTCTGTTGACTGACTGCTTTCCAGAAACATTTTTATTTTCCAGGGACTTTTTATTATTCTCTGCTTGCCCTTTTTTTGTTTAAAGGATACAGTTATTTGCATCATTTCTCTTTCTTTCATGATTAGTTTTTCAGTTGTTCATCTTGTTTTTTCTTTGTCACGTGCTTGTTTTTTCTTATACACATGACACTGATTGACACATAATTCCCAGTGGTTGGTTGGTGTGGGTGGCCGGCTTGTGTTTCCTTGCACTTGTGTCCATGATGCTGATTGACACGTGATTCCCAGTGGTTGGTTGGTGTGGGTGGCCGGCTTGTGTTTCCTTGCACTTGTGTCCATGATGCTGATTGACACGTGATTCCCAGTGGTTGGTTGGTGTGGGTGGCCGGCTTGTGTTTCCTTGCACTTCTGTTGCGTGTTTCCCCACAAGCCTCTCCTGGAAGGACCTGCCTCGGGCGTGGACATATGGCCATCGGCAGGCATAGGGTTAGGGGGCCTTGGGCAAGAGGAAGACCTGAAAGCTGGGTGGTTCCATAGTTGCCAGAACACGAAGGTCTGACTTGCACTGAGAGCCTTGGTGCGGGAGTTGGCGCGTGCTCTCTAAGGGCCAGGTGGAGATATTTTAACTTTGCAGGCCTCGTGGGCTCTGTCACAGCTACATTGCTGCCGTGCCGAAGCAGCCACTGACAACAGGGACACAGGAAAGTACTGTGTTCCAATAAAACTGCATTGTGAACTCTGAAATGTGTGTTTCATGTAATTTTCACGTCATGAAATATTCTTTTGATTTTTTAAAAAAAACTAAAATACAGAATGGGCAGTGGGATGGTTTTGGTTACAGGCCATAGTTTACCAAACTCGACTTAGTGCATGGTCTTCCAGAGTGGGAACTGTGTCAGGGTGGTGGAACCTTCTGCACCCATTCGGCCTGGTTTCCCAATATCAGTACCTTTCTGAGCATTTGCTTGAACCTTATTTTTAAAAAGTTTAGTCATCGCCCTGGTGGTATTGGCTCAGCAGTTAGAGCATCAGCCTGTGGTCCAGAGAGACCTGGGTTCGATTCCCGCTAAGGGCGCGTACCTCGGTTGCAATTTGTCCCCGGCCCTGGTTGGTCGTGCAGGTGGCAACCACTCAATGTGTCCCTTTCACATCGATGCTTCTCTCTCTCTCTCTCTCTCTCTTTCTCTCTCTCTCTCTTTCTCTCTCTCCCTCCCACTCTGTCTGAACAAAAAATGGAAAAATGTCCTCGGGTGAGGATAAAAAACATAAATAGATAAATAAAAAGTCAGTCATCTGGTTGAGTCATGCAGTATGTGTCTTTTCAGGTTGGCTCCGTTCACTTAGCAGAATGCCTTTGTAGTCATCCCCCTGTCTGCCGGGGATTCCTTCCAAGACCCCCATGTTTGCCTGAAACTCTGGACATTGCTGAACCCTATAAAGACTAAGTTTCTTATACACACGCCTACGATAAAGGTTAATTTATAAATTAGGCACAGGAAGAGATTAGCAATAACGATAATAAAATGGATCAATTGTAATTTTTTTACATTTTTTTTCTTTAATTCGTCAACAGTTATTTCTGTATATGATTGAAAGTAGGATTTGCCTGTAGTTTCTTCCCACTAGATAACTGTTTGTCTCAGCATTGTTTCTTGAATAAACAGTCTTTTCTGCACTGACTTATAGTGCCCCCTATTTTATATATCAAATTCCATGTATATTTGGGCCTCTGTTTGACCTCTTTTCTGTTTTATTTATTTGCATGGTTGTTGTGCTGGTATCATGTTCTTTGGAGCTTGTAATTTAGGTTCATGAAGTTTTGAATGTCTGTAGGGCAGATTCTTCTACAGTTGTGCTTTCAAAACTTTTTTCATAGTCATTCTTCCACCTGAGCTCTGGAACCATTTTTTTGAGGTCTAAAACAAATCACATTTTAATTATGATTGATTTGCATACTTTCATAAATCATTTTGGAAAGGGCTTACATTTTATAATGCATTAAATCTTCCCATTGAGAAACATGGGCTGTTTCTATCTGTCAGTTCTCATGTTGATAAATCCAGTCTTTGTGGAAAGAATAAGTTTAGCAAGAGGAGTAGAATATTCATTTTGTTGTTAATAATAGCTAGTAAGTTGCTAAGTAATATTCTAGTAATAGTATAAGTGGGATATTTTTTTCTATTTGTTTCTCTCTTGACATTGTGAGTATAAAGGAAAACTATTGATTTTTTTGTATTTGTATCTTTTTAAAACTTTTTAACCTCACCCGAGGACATTTTTGCATTTATCCTCAGATACAGCGGGAGGGAGAGAGAGAAACATTAATGTGAGAGAGACACATCAACTGGTTGCCACCCACATGACCCCAACCGGGGCCGGGGCAAACTGCAACCGAGATACGCGCCCTTAGTGGGAACTGAACCCAGGTCTCTCTGGACTGCAGGCCGACGCTGTAACCGCTGAGCCAAATCGGCCAGGGCTCTAAGTATGATTTCTCTTTTATTGGGGTAAGAACATATAACATGAGATCTGCCCTCTGACCAGGTTTTTAAGTGCACAGTAACTATAGGCACAGTGCTGCTGGCCGATCCCCAGAACTCACTTGTCCTGCGTGACTGACACTTTACACCCATGAACAGCAGCTCCCCGTGGCTCTTCCCCAGCCCCTGGCAAGCAGCAGCCAGTTCTGCTGTCTGCTTCTATGAGTTTGACTCTCTTAGTACCTTGTCAGTGGAATCCTACAGTATTTTCCCTCCTATGTGAGCTTATTTCACTTAGCATAATGTTCTTAAAATTCACCCATGTTGTCACATATTGGAGGATTCCCTTCCATCGTTTCCATATCTTGACTCCTGTGAATAATGCTGCAATGAACACGGGAGTGTGGATCCTTCAGGATCTTGATTTCAATTCTTAGAATAAATACCTAGAAGTGGGATTGCTGGATTGTACTGTAATTCTATTTTTAATTTTTTGAGGAACCTCTATACTGCTTTCTGTAGTGGCTGTACCACTTTATGTTCCCACCAACAGTGCACAAGAGTTCCAGTTTCTCCACATCCTCACCAACACTTTTTTTTCATAACAACCACGTGTGAGGTGGTAGCTCGTGGTCTTGATTTACACTTCCCTGATGATTGGTGACGTTGAGCACGGTTGGCCATTTGTATGTCTTAGGGAAATGTCTGTTCAAGTCTTTATCCCATTTTTATATCAGGTTGTTTTCTTTTGCTCGAGTTATAGGAGCTCCTTACATACTTTGGAAATTAACCCTTTATCTGATAGTTTGCAAATATTTTCTGCCATTCAATATTTTACCTTTTTTTTTGTTGTTCATTGTTTCCTTTGCTGTGCAGGTGTCTTTTGAATTTTACATTTGTTTTTAGTGTCTGATAAATATCAGTTTAATATATAATTGTCCTATGTTAATTAGAGATTTTTTAAAAATCAGGAATGGCTGTTGAGATTTGGCAATAGGTGCCAGTGCTTTTGGGGGCATTCATGATTATTTTCTATGGTTCCCCAGTTTTAATTTGAGAATATAATAAATTATTTGAACTGTCCTTGCATTTCCGAAACCAACCCTAATAGATCATAGTGTGTGTGTGTGAATAAATATATATATATATGTACACACACACACACACATATATATAAAATAATGTATTGCTGGGATTCTGAATAACAATACTTAAACATATTTAATTTCTATTCCTAAGTTATATTTGTCTATATTCTGTTTTGTTGCTACTTTCATGGAATACATCACAGAGCTTTATAACATTTTATATAACCTGAAATAACAGACACATTACAGGCATTACACATTTCTTAAGGGATGGATTGAGTCATTTGTGAAGTAACTGGGCCTTTTGTCTCTGCCTGTTCAGTTTCCTCTGTTCGCTCCAGGTTTTTACTTGTTCTTTGTTCAAGTTGAATCACTTCTATTTTGCTAGGAAATTATTTATTCTAAATTTTCATTTCAGTGCCCTAACGCTGCCTGTTGCTGGACATGCTGCTCTCGTCTCATTTCTGGCTGTGGTACCACTGGGTGCTTATAAGTTTTGTCAGCATGTTGCCCATCATTTATTTAACATTTTTTGGATCTATACTCAGGAGTATATATTTTTAAATATTTATTTATTTATAAAAGTCATGACAATTTTTTTTTATCCTTACCCAAGGACATTTTTTTATTTTTTGTTCACACAGAGTGGGAGGGAGAGAGAGGAAGAGAGAGACACATTGACATGAAAGGGACACATCGAGTGGCTGCCGCACACACAACCCAACCAGGGCTGGGGACAAACTGCAACCGAGGTACATGCCCTTAGCGGGAACCAAACCCGGGTCTCTCTGGATCGCAGGGTGACGCTCTAACTGCCGAGCCAAACCGGCCAGGGCCATGACAGTATTTTGAAAAAAATAATTGTAAGTGTTACCAGAAAGGGGACCTGGCCTTCGGCAAGTGCCGAGGGCTGGGTCGGTAGTGTATGGGTTCTTGACTTCCCGTAGAAAGTGTCACAACACAGGTGCAGGTGAATTTTAGAGACCGTTGTTGAAAGCTGGGGACACTGAAACAGGAGGCCTGGAGAAATGAGCCCAGGCTGGTCTGTGTCAGCTCACTAAGAAGTCAGAGAAAAGGGGGTCTGGGGACAGGGACAGGGGGTTTGCCTGGGATGAACTGCCACTGCCCATGCTGTCCTGGTTGTAAGCCTCGTGGGGTCCCTTAGAGTCTAGGAGATGCTGCCTGTGGGGCCATAGAGGTGTGCTCCTAGGAAGGAGAGTACGCTGGGTCCTTTGTCTTGAGGTTTTTATTTCTCTCTGGCTGGCGGGCAGCTTTTTTCTTTTAATTTAAACTTGTCTTTATTGTTGAATGTATTACAGATGTCCCCCCTTTTCCCACCCATTGAACATCCCTCCTTCCTACTCCTGACCCCCTCCTGCCTTCCCTATCCTATTGTCTGTGTCCATTGGTTATGCATATATGCATAGAAGTTCTTTGGTTTATCTCTTCCTGTCCTCCCTCCTCCCTTCCTTCTGAAGTTCATCAGTCTAACAACCAATTTGTACTTCTTAATTCCTTCATCTGTTTCACCCATTCCCCCAGCCCCCTCCCATCTGGCAAGCAACAAAATGTCCTCTGTATCTATGAGTCTATTTCTTTTCTGCTTGTTCAATTTGTTTGTAGATTCAATTGTTGAAAGATATGTATTCATTGCCATTTTAGTGTTCATTTTTTTTTATATTTAAACAAGTGCCTTTTTTGCATTTCAAACTTTTTTTATTTTTTCCATTAATTAATTAATTTTTGTTACAGATGCTTCTTCTTTTTTTCTCAATGACACCTTCCTCCTGATCCCTCTCCACAGCATTGTTGTCTATGTCCATAGGTTATGCATATATGAATATAAGTTCTTTCATTTATCTCTTCCCTCACCCCTGCTGCCCTCCTTTTAAGTTTGTCAGTCTGAACCCTACTGCTATGTCTCTAGGTCTGTTTTGTTCATCCGTTTATTTTGCTCATTATATTCCACAAATAAGTGAGATCATGTGATTCTTTTTAATAGCTTCTACCTCTTTTTTCAAGCTCCCACTGAGTTCTCATTAAGTTGCTTGTAATTCTCACTAAGTTATTTGAGTATCCTCACTACCATTACGTTGAATTCCTTATCTGACAAATTTGCTTGCCTTCATTTCATTTAGTTCTTTTTCTGGTGATTCCTCCTTTTCTTTCATTTGGCGGTTGTTTCTTTGTCTCACCATTTTCACGGTCCGATAAGTCAGGGCGCACCAGGTCACGTGTGGAGGTGGGTGTGTCCAGGGGCATCGGGTCATGGCGGGGTCAGATCTTGGATCAGTCCCGTCCAGGGCTGCTAGCCTCTCCCGGCGGCATCTGCAGTGGTGAGGCAGCTGGCTCTTGGCTCGTGCGAGGGCTGTGGGGTCAGAGGCTCTGTTCTGGTGCGTGGCCCATCCCAGGGAAGGCATGCTAGCTGATTTGTTGACCTGATGGGGAAGAAAGAAGCTAGTGGAAGAATACTGAGATATCAGGAGTGGAAAAGAGATACCAACCATGATAAAGAGATAACATATGATAGAAAAATGGTCATGATAACCCCCAGGTTTGGAAAGAAACCTTGTGTGTTAGCTGTGGGAGACTTGGGAACAGTGACTAGTGGATTGGTTCCCGGATACCCTGACCTAATGTACCGTGGCCCCCCGGGCACTCGGGCTCTTGACCTCTCCAGTGCAGCTCTCAGAATCCTGGGAAGAGACCATGGAATCGACCCCGCTGGGGCCATCGGTTTTCCCCGGGCGTGGGCGTGGGCCTGGCAGGCTGCGTGTGGAGCTGCGGGGTGCACCGTATGCTGTGCAGTGGGTGTCCAGTCAGGGCAGCTGCTGATATGCAGCGTAGAGTGTTCATAGCCACAGCCCTTGGCTTCCTGTGGAGCTGCCCAGGACTGAACGAGGTGCTCTGCGTGGAGGCTCTGGTGCCGCGCGTGGCCAGGCCGAGCCACGTGTGTAGGGCTGGATCCTGCCTCCCCGCCCAGCCTTCCTCAGGGAGCTGTAGGTCACCACTGGGAGTGCATCAGACATACGGGCCAGTGCGCATGCAGGACCCCACCCTTGGTCCTTCTGGTGATGCCACCCAGCCCTCCGGAAGTCCCCACACACCCACGCCCAGCCGCCTCCGCGGTGTTCCCTGCCATGCCGTCAGCCTGTGGGGTGGGGATGGGGCTCTTGCATCTGCATGTCCCCAGTGTGTACTGGTGAGGGCCGAGTGGAAGAATGTGTTTATGAAACAAACATGCCCTATAGAGGTTCTTATATTAGTTTTGTTGTTGCCCAGGGCACAGAGATCTGGTCCAGCCCTCTACAGCCTGCTGCTCTGGTGAATTTGGTAACTTACCCTCAGCTGCAGCTGGTTGTCACCGTGGACAAGGAGGGACTAATCAAAGTGTGGAAAGCAGAGAATGGGTCAGAGTCAGCCTCCTTCCGCCTACCTATGGACTCGTCTGCGTTGGAGGCCTGTGACCATCCAGAGGGTCCCTTCCTGCTGGTGAGTACCCAGCGCTCAGAAGCCTGTGTGGGTGCTAGCAGTCTCCCAGCTGCGGGCACAGGAAGGTTGGCATGCCCGGCCACAGCGGGTTGGAGCCCTGGGTGGATTAGCAAGTGTTGCAGCCTAACAGTAAGGCTGGGCTGAGAGTGAACAGTCTCTGCACCTTGCACCGAAAGGTGGCGGGTTCAGTTTCTGATCACATAACCCAGGTTGTGAGTTCGATCCACACTTGGGGCACATACAGGCGGCAACTGATCAGTGTTTCTCTCTCACATTGATATTTCTCTCTCTTCCTCTCCCTTCCTTTCTTTCTAAAATCAATAAAAACATATCCTTGGGTGAGGATAAAAAAAAAAAGAGAATAGTACCAACTAGAACTGGCAGGATAAACAGCAGACAATGTTGTAAGACCACAGAAGCTTCAGGCAGTGTGGTTATTGGGCACAGACACCAAGGTAGCAGTGGTCGCTGTGATCAGGGGATACATTTCAGCAGAGAACGTAATAAAAAATGACACAGGCACGGACGACAGTAAGGTGATTACCAGTGGGAACGGGTTGTGGTGGGAGGTAGAGGAGGGTAAAGGGGACATTTATGGTGATGGAAGGAGACTCGACTTGGGGTGGTGAACACCATACAATGTACAGGTGACGTCTTATAGAACTGTACACCTGAAACCTATATAATTTTATTAACCAATGTCACCCCAATAAATGCAATAAAAATTTTTTTAAAGCTATAAAAAATGACATATTGGATTTAGAAAAGAACCAAGTGGATACTCTTTTTTTTTTTTTTTTTTTTTAATCCTCACCCGAGGACATTTTTCCATTTTTTGTTCAGATAGAGTGGGAGGGAGAGAGAGGAAGAGAGAGAGAGAAACATCGACGTGAAGGGACACATCGAGTGGCTGCCACCCGCACGACCAACCAGGGCCGGGGACAAACTGCAACCGAGGTACGTGCCCTTAGCGGGAACCGAACCCGGGTCTCTCTGTACCGCAGGCCGACGCTTTAACCGCTGAGCCAAACCGGCCAGGGCCCAAGTGGATACTCTTGAACAGAAAAACTGAATAACAAGGGGAATGGACTTGTGGGCAGGGTGGACAGTGGGCCAGAGACTGGGGTGGATGAAGGAAGCTGGTGGGCACTGCCACATCCTACTCCTTAGCTTAAGTGGGGACCTGAATGTTTTCTTTATAGTAATTTATTGAGCTCTACGTTTATGTTTTGGGCAGTTTGCCATATATGTGTTGTATACATCAATTAAAAAGTCAGAATATAGAATTAGTGAGCTGAAAGATAAAAGAAATGATCTAGAACAACAGAGCAGGGATATCAAGAGTGGTGACTGCAGAAGGGAGGGCAAGAGCTGGGGACCAGTGCTCCTCCCTCCCTCCCTCCCTCCCTCCCTCCCTGGGAGAGGGAGGGAGAGAGAAACATTGATGAGAGAACATGGACTGACCACCTCCTTCATGCCCCAACTGGGGATTTGGCCCACAACCTGGGCATGTGTCCTGACCGGGAATGGAACTGGTGACCTCTTGAGTCGATGCTCAGCCACTAGGCCACACCAGCCTGGCAGACCAGTGCTTCTAAGACATGAATCACCCGGGGCTCGTGTGTAAAGGCAGCTTCTGATCTAGTGGGTCCCTGGGGATGCCTGAGATGCTGATGTTTTAACAGGCTTCTTAGGAATATTGAAGCTGCTAGTCCACAGACCACCCTTTGGGTAGCAAGGCCGGGAAGGATCTCTGAAAAAATGTAGTATTTGCTATCCCAGCAGTAGGTGAGGCACCACCTTTCTGTCGTCTTGATGCTGAGGGGTAGCTTGGCTGGGCACCAGGTACGATTTCACTGTTGTTCTTCCTGTCAAAAAGTCGACTGGTACTCTGACTTCCCTCGTTAGACACTTGGATTTTTAAAATAAAAAGCCTTAAAGATAGTTTGCAATATTGAAAGTCTGGTAGTTGTACCGTGACACCGTTTGCAGTGATCACCCTGCGCCATCTTTCCCAAGAACATACAAATCCTTTAATCACAGATTCAGACTTTTTTTTTATTTCTAGAAAGTTTCACTATATATGAATTTTAAATATTACTCTGTTAATGAATGTTTCCTTTGTAAGAACTTTATTCGTGTTTATTAGATCTTGCCTATCTTCTGGGATACTTCCTGTTTGTTTTAGCTTTTCCTTCCATTTTTGTTCTCTTACCTGTTTTCTTCTCCTCTTTTAGTGCCCTTATTTGTTCAGCAGTGTGTTTTCTCTTTTAGGTGTATTATCTTCATTTTTGAGATAACTTGTTCTTTTTTCCCCTAATATGTTTTTACTGATTATTTAGGGAGAGAGGAAGGGGGAGAGGGAGGCAGAAACATTAATGTGAGAGAGAAACATCGATTGGTTGCCTCCCATATGGCACCCCGACCAGGGACTGAACCCTCAACCTGGGCATGTGCCCTGACTGGGAATGAACTGGCGATCTTTTGGTACACAGGACAATGCTCAGCCAACGGAGCCGCCTCAGCCAAGGCGAGATCACTTTTTGATCAGTATCTTTCCTGAATTAATTTAATTCTTATTTCATATCCTGAATGTTGAATTTCTGATTCAAGCTGTCCTTTCATATGCTTATTTTATGATATTTAACTCCTGTCCAGGTGGTTACCAGTCCGATTCCTGGTTGTTCTTGGGTGGGATAGTTTTCCCAGCTAAGATGGTTGATTCTCACTTTTCATGACCTTGTTTGAATATTTCCATTTTCTACGCATTTTGAAGTTTTTGTGTTTTTTCCTGGAAAGTAAGAACCGATGATTTTATGTAAGTTGAACAGAAAGTCCAGATTGTGTTCCATGGGCAAATGTCTGCCGAAAACGTTCCTTTAAAACAGTAGCTGGAGGACAAGCTATTCAAGAAATGGAGCACCTGCCCATTAGAAGGGAGAAGCTGAGCTACTCCCCCACCGCTCTGTTTGTGGAAATACACTAGAATAATTAAAAACTAAATGTAAAAGGCAGTTAAACAGTTATCTGAGGAATGTATAAAGTGGTTTTTTAACATCAGTCTGGGATGTGCCTGGCCTGGCTAGGCAAGACACAACCTGGAATTGAGAAAAATCACAGATTTACCTGAGAAATTAAAAATATCGGAACTATAGAGTATTATAAAATTAAGACACATGAAAAAAAAAAACTCTTATCTTATTTAACAAAGCTTTAATATCAGATTACTTAACGCATAGAGATCTAGTAGAAAAATAGGTAAAGGTATGAATAGTCAATTCATAGAAAAATGTACAAATGGCCAATAGAATGTAAAGGTGTGAAACCCAACTCGGAATCAAGACCGTGACATCACAACGAGGCTGTTCACCTACTGGATGAGCAGACGTAAAAATTGGTATTATAATAAGTCTGATGGAAAATATTTTTTATACATGGCAAGTAAGAATAGAGATAGAGAAGTGTTTAAAGAACTTGTTTTTTTTTTTTTGCCCTGGCAGGTTTAGCTCAGTGGTTAGAGCATCGGCCTACGGTCCAGAGAGACCCGGGTTTGGTTCTCGCTAAGGGCACGTACCTCGGTTGCAGTTTGTCCCCGGCCCTGGTTGGGTCGTGCGGGTGGCAACCACTCGATGTGTCCCTTTCACATCGATGTTCTTTCTCTCTCTCTCTCCCTCCCTCCCTCTCTCCCTCCCTCCCACTCTATCTGAACAAAAAATGGAAAAATGTCCTCGGGTGAGGATCAAAAAAAAGAAAGAAAGCTTGTTTTTTTTCTTTTTTTTTTTTTTTATCCTCACCCGAGGACATTTTTTTTTTTTTTTTTTTTTTTTTCATTTTTTGTTCAGGTGCAGTGGGAGGGAGAGAGAGGAACAGAGAGAGAGAGACACACATCGACGCGAAAGGGACACATCGAGCGGCCGCCACCCGCACAACCGACCAGAGCCGGGGACAAACTGCAACCGAGGCACATGCCCCCAGCGGGAACCAAACCCGGGTCTCTCAGGACCGCAGGCGGACGCTCTAACCGCTGAGCCAAACCGGCCAGGGCTTGTTTTTTTTCTGTTAGAAGTTTTCAATCTGATACTCTTTGACCCAGTAATTTCAGTTCTAGGGATCTCTCAGGAAATATTGCATTGCCGCACAGAGATGGTTCGTGGTAGTGAAATTTGTAAACAACATAAATGTTCATCATAATGAGGAGAAGTAAAAAGTCGTGGGACATGTCCTCTGATGTGCAAAGAGTTCCAGGAGTACTGGAAGCAGAGAAGGCAGGGCAGCTGCAGACAGCGTCTGAGAGTGATGGAGAGCCGGGTGCTGGCGGCCACCCCCCGCTTCTGTGTGGAGGGAAGAGCAGGTTTGCTCTCAAACTGTTTGGGTAAACTCATTTTTTTGACTTAGTAAGTGGCATCTCGCTCCAGTGAGGAAGCAGGTATGCAGCGGCCGCCTTGGGCGAGGACACGAGGACATGCACAGATGGTCACCACACCTTTGCATTGCAGGTGGCCTGTGCCGACGGAGCACTCTACACGCTGACGGTGCCCGGGCTGCAGCTGCGGTCCAAGGTGAGCGTGTTCCCAGACCACCCCACCAGCCTGCTCTGCTCTCCTGACTGCCAGTGGGTGTTCGCATGGACCCAGGACTCAGAGCTGGGCCCCAAGGTCAGTGCTGGGCTGTGTCCTCGCCCCAGGGGCCAGGCTTTGTGTGCACAGGCAGTGATTCTGTGCCTGGTCTTCCCAGGTACACCAGATGTCATACAGGACCAGGTCTGCGGCCGCTCAGGGCCACCAGATGGGCAGTGTGGGAGTTTCCTCATGATTTATGGGCACAAAGACATCTAGCCTGAGTGCCAGGAACTGAACTGGAAAATTAGAAGAGTTAGAAACAGACAGCTGGTCACGGTCCGAGACATGCTGGGGTGGGTGGGTGAGGAAGGCCAGGAAGACAGTCAGCAAGGCTGGGACCTGGCAGCCAGGGGAGGTAAGAGGGCTGGGCAGGGGAGCGGAGGAGAGAGGCTGCAGGAAGTGGGGGAGCAGCAGTCACCAGGAGCGGGACTCCTCAACAAAGCAGTTCTGGGAACTGAGAGGAGGCATTGGGAGCCAACTGCCTGGAGATAGGAAGGGAATACGGAGGCAGACACTGGAGGCAAAGTAAGACGGTGACGCGTAGCTGCTCACAGCCAGAGAAGCTATTTCCTGGATGTATTCACCCCCTGCCCTCACTGGGACCTGTGTACCTCGGTCTTTCCAGTGGCCAGATGCGGCTGGGACTGACCTCGCTCCCTGGTCCGCGCCATCTGGAAAGGAGGGTCCTTAGTGGCACAGCCACTCCATGAGACCAGAAGGTCACTGTGGGTGTGGGTTCGTGGGCAGAGCCGCCAGGAGGGGCTGGCAGAGCGCTCCAGGGTCGGAGGAGGCCTCTGTCTTCGGCGATGAGACCGTGTGGTGGTGTTCCCAGGTGTTCCACACGCGCTCCTTGCTGTGTCCCTTGGAAGACGAGCCTCCTGTCTCTACCACTCTCCCCATCGGGCTGACTTCCAGAGCCTGCTGGGCCCCTGATCAGGCAGCCAGGCTGGTGGTGATGCACAGAAATGACAGTGGCGTGCAGTTGGTCACCACCTACGAGCTAGGGGCTAAGAAGTCCAGGGATGCAATCAACATTCTGGGTAAGGCTCCCATATCAGGACCCACGAGTCTACGTGTCACCAGCATTGCAGGGATGCTTCAGCACAGATCCTCGTTTCCTCTGGGGCACTTTTTCTTCCCTCAGTGAATGCAGTGACCCACAAATGTTTCCTTGTTTGTGATGTTATGTACTGGCTGGGTGGTCGAGCACCTCCTTGGGTCAGGCCTTCTGCGTAGCCCTGAGATTCAGACACTGATTGCTGTCAGCTTAGTCTCCCCTCTCCTAGCGCATCTTTCTGCGTCCATTTGTCCCCACCTCCCTTTTCACAGCTGAATCAGAGGCACCGTTCTCAGCACAAGGGCAGGAAAAGATGAGTCAAAGCCTCGCTGTCTCTTCCCCAAGGAGCTCCTGGTCCCGAGGGAAACGAGCCCTCTCCTCCTGTCTCCTAAGCCCGGCCTCTCTCTGGACAGGCCTTCCCTGTGGTCCTTAGTCTTTTCTTTGGTATTATGTTCACTCATTTTCATATCATTATTTGACCTTCATTTTTATTAAGCTTCCTGGCACCCGAGGAAAAAGGGAAAATAGGATGTGTACTATATAAGCCCTTGTCTGATATGAGAAAGTGCATGAATTTTTCAAAAGAGGTATTTTTCTTCTTCGTGGTGCTACACTCCATTAGGAAGTGACTGAGTTGATTTTTTTAAACAAGGGATGCTACACGGTGTAAAACACGTGTCTTCATCAGTTTTTGGCAGATGTCGTAAATGTCTCAGTTCTCACGTGGCCATGTTCTACATCACCCTGCCATAGATGGGGAGGGGTAGAAGGAAGGGCGCCGCACGCTGTCCCTTCCACGTGCAGATTCCTCGCGAGCAGGCGCGGTCCTCAGTACGCAGAGCCAGCGAGGAGGTGTAGGAGCGGAGCATGATTCAGCCGGGGTGCTGCTGTAACTGCGCCATCGCTGTCTTCAGTGCACCAGCTTAGGGGAGGCCTGCCTGCCCCAGACTCCAGCTGCTATCAGGAAATGACAGTCTGTGTGTGTTTGTTTCAAAAAGTACAACAGATTGCAAGTTTCGTCCTGCCAGACACCATGATGTCTACTCACCTCATGAAGGGCCACGGCTCCAAAGTGCTCCTGCTGGTGTCTGGGTCCGAGCTGGTGCTCTTCACCATCCACGGCCTGCAGCTGGCAGCCTTCCAGGACCACCAGAAGCCCATCACGTCCGTGTGCGTGGTGAGTGTGGCCCCGCCCTGCCTGAATCGGGGAGCCCTACCTCGGGGGCCCACATCCCTGCCTCATGTAGCTTTTCATTTCCAGGACCAGAGCCGAGTCATCACCTCTTCTTTCGACCTCTCCTTGCGAGTATACATGTGGAAAAAGGACAATCAATTTCCTGTCCTCAAGAGCTGCTATCACTTGCTCGGGGGGTCCCACCGATGGGCCAGGTAACTGCATCTGGTTCTTTCATTTTGCCTGTGAGATGGCCGCTGGGCCTCCCAGCAGTGCTTTTTAAGGGTGCCATTGGAAAGGATGTGGCTGGGGTCCTAGCCCCACCTGCCCCTCACTACTTGTCTGACCCTAGCAAGGTCACTGGTCAGAATCTGCCTCCTCCTCTTAAAGAGATGCTGTGCACCCTCTGCACGGCCTCCTGTGATCGCAGAACCACCCGTGCTGGTGTCGGCCACGTTGCCCAGAAGAGACGGAGGCCAAAGAGGTGGGCATTCTGCCCACAGGGACGCCTGGCGAGGCCTGCACAGCCCAGACACAGGCCTGCAGCCCAGCCCTCACCCTCCCTTCATAGCCCACATGGTCCTGGATTCATTTACCAAACCCTCGCGATGCTGGGCGGCAGTGGGGTAAGACTGTAAACGTCCGAAAGAACGCAATTTTGCGTTGTGTTTTCAAGTGAGTATCTTGGAACCACATGTTCTTTCTTGCCTTAGTACATGCTACAGAGAGGACAGGGCTTCCAGACCTTATATCCCATCTGGAGTGCCTTTCAGTCATTGTTACGAGGTATGGCGCGAATTCCACCTCCTGTGACAAACATCTCACAGTCTTTTATTTATTTATTTTTAAATCTTATTTTAATTTTTTTCATCACCATTTGTTCACCCATACCCTCTCCCACCTCTACCCGCCACTCTGCCTGCCCACAATCCCCACACCGTTGTTCATGTCCATGAAACATCTTTCAATCTTTTTTATTTTTTTATGGGTTTTTTTTTTTTTTTTCACATCAAATGTTTATTGATTAATTTTTGTTACAGATGTTTCTCCTTTTTTCCCCCACTGATTCCCCCCTCCCCCTCCCTCCCTGCCCCTTCCCCAGATTGTTGTCCATGTCCACTGTTCATGCATACATGCATATAAGTTCTGTGGTTCATCCCTCCCCCACCTCCCCACTTTTTAGGGGATTGTCAGTCTGTACCCCGCTTCTGCGTCTCTGGGACTACCCCATTCCTCAAACTGTTATGTTCATTATATTCCACAAATAAGTGAGATCATATGAAATTTGTCTTTCTCTGTTTGGCTTGTTTCACTTAGGATGATACTTTCAAGGTCCCTCCATGTAGTCTCAAAGCATAAGAGATCTTTCTTTCTTACAGCTGCATAGCACTCCATTGTGTATATGTACCACAGCTTTTTGATCCATTTGTCTACTGATGGGCACTTGGGCTGTTTCCAGATCTTAGCGATTGTAACTAGTGCTGCTACAAACATGGGGGTACATATATTCTTTCTGATTGGTGTTTTATGCTTCTTAGGGACATCTTACAATCTTAAAGGAAAAAATACAATGCCCCAAACCGAATATTTCAAAAACTACAGATTCCTGAAACAAAACCTCCTAGTTTCTGAATCAGTAGTTGTTTGAAGACAGTTATTAAAGCATATTCCTAATATAGGAAAATCTTAGTTCTCCTCAGTGAGTCAATGCAATTTTCTGGTAAGATTGAGGATTAGTAGAGACGCAGCTTAAATTCCACGAGAATTGGTCTGTAGGAAGATTTTAACCCTCTCTCTCAACTTTGTAAACAAAGCGTGATGGCCAGCGCAGTGCTCTGTGTTCTGCACGGTGTGCGCCAACGGCTGCCTCACCCCGAAGTCCTCGCGGAAGCCCTGTGGCGTTGGAGGTCTGGGCCGAGGCAGACTGTTGGGAGCCCTGCCATTCCATGTCCACGTTGCAGGTGGTGCAGGACTGTGTTTTGGCTGTTTTCCCTGGGGTACACTTGTAGCTTTGTTCTCTGTGCTTGGGAGAGGGCTGAGGCCTGGCTCTGCTGTGCCTGCCTTTGACCGAGGCCAGCCTTTGTGGAGCCGCTCCGTCCCGCCCTGTGGGCAGTAGATGATCCCCTCCAGGGCCGGAACTCCTCCTGCTCCAGGGGACATGCAGACCTGCTTGTGGCCTCTGCCAGGCCAGCTTCAGGGGATTGTGCTTGGAGTTTGCGCTCACAAATGTGCTCTTTTTGTTCCCTTTTTATCTGTGTCTTTAAGGAATTTTTTACTGCGTTCTACATTCTTCACGCATTACTGAGTGGTTAGAACATCCTCTCACTGGAATAACGACAAGCAAGTAGTAGCACTTCTACTTGTTTGAAGTTTTTAAACACTGCACTGTGTACACCCATTCGTTGGCTGTGCTGCCCTGTTCTCGTCAGGGCAAGCAAGTAGAATTTTTGGAAACTTCTATTTCATGTATGCTTTTATTTTTTTGGTTAATCCTCCCCCAAGGATATTTTTTCATAGCTTTTTACATAGAGTGGAAGGGAGGGAGGGGGAGAGAGAGAAACATTGATGTGAGAGACACATATCGATTGGTTGCCTCCTGCACGACCCCAACCAGGGCTGGTGATTGAACCTGCAACCTAGGTACATGCCCTTGACCAGAATCAAATCCACGATCCTTCAATTCGAGGGCTGACACTCTAACTCCTGACCCAACCAGCCAGGGCACAGGTGCTTTTAATCATTGCACTACACGCATTATAAAACTAAACATCCGTCTGCGGGAAAGACACAGTTCTCAGAGTGGCAGGTGAGTGCCACATCTCAAAAACGTGTTTTAATCAGGACTCCAGAATGAATGGATCATGGCCTCACATTTTGCCCCTTTCCTGATTAACAACATATACCTCCGGAAACCCTGAGTTGAGTGGTCCTTTCTTTTCTGGGAGCTTCATTTGGAGATAATAAACCTAGAAGTCTTGCTCCATGCTTTTGACCCTGCAAGTTCTCAAACGTGCAACATTTTGTCTCTCTTTTGGCACTTTAGTGAATGCTACAAGAGAGAACCAACACTTTCCAGGAGTGTTTTAGCTCCTAAAATGTCATCTCTGAATGTGAATTCTGATTCTCCCCAGAAAAATGTATTAGACATAAATTTACCAGCTGCCTGGCAGCACCCCGTTGGATCTACCAGGAGACACACAGACATCTGCAGACTTGACAGGAATGCTCATATGTACCCAGGGACTGTATGTGAATGTTCATATCTGCCCAAGAGAAACGGACACATCTACACAGAGAGTGGGGGCTGTTCTCAGCAGGTCACTCCACCCACACAGTGCAAATAGTGCCAGTGCCAGCTGCTCATGGGTAAACCCACGGTGGTACAGCCACACAGGGGAACATTACTCAGCTCTACAAAGGGATGGTGTGGACATACATTGACATGGGTGAACTGCAGAAACATTCGTACCATGTGACTGCACTTATGCGACACCCAGGAAAGGCGGGTCTGCAGGAACAGGTGAAGCAGTGTCTGTGGGCCGAGAGTGGGTGGGGTTCACTGCGGACAGGTGAGACGGATCTCTCCAGAGAGATGGAAATGTTCCAGAACTAGATCGTGGTGATGGCTGCACCATCTCCACATTTACTAAAAATCAACTGAAGAAAAAAAACTAAGAGGAAGAATTCTCTAAAGAGGGAAAATACATGCAAATTCAACCTTCTTTGCCCAAAAAAACCCCAGTGATCCATCTGGCCCGCCGAGCAGATCAGGGAGCAACCGCCCGCTCAGCCCCATTCACCCCCACTCACCAGCCGACGATGCAGTTTTTCGAGAGTCTGGAAACAGCCACGTTCCACTCTCCATGTTAATTTCTAGGCTGAATAGAACTTTAGTTGCTACTTAAAGAAACTCAGTAATCAGCATGGAATTTAAGCTGAAAGGTATTTCATGGAGGCCAAAGCAGCAGGATTTCAGAAGTGATGTGTAGCCCCCATCTGGGTTTCTGTGGGAAACTCAAGAAGTTCCTTCTCTGGTTTTCTTGGGGGGTCGGTTTGGTTTGGCTTGCACATACCTGTTTCATTTTTCTCTCATGCCCCAGAGCAGCCCACCGTACGTTTGTCTAGGCGTCATGGGACATGGCAACCCCATTGGCCACTGTGTTCCTGTCTTCACTGAGACTGATCGGGAACTGATGATTCTAAATTCCGGGGAAACAACCCTGATCTGCCAAGTTCAGATTCGGTGCCCCTCCTCCTGTACCCGGAGACGTTTCCAGCATAGCTGGGACCCCTGTGATTCAGGCTGCTATAGGAGGGTCCAAAACTGACATTCCCCGCAGAACGTGCTCGTCTTTGCTAATTGTTACAAGCGAACGTCCTCCAGTGTGGCTGGGTGGACGTGGTGGAAGAGGTGTAGGTGGCGTGGGAGGGCCAACTGCCTAACATGTGTCCTTGTCTCAAATGAACCTGCTGCATGTCCCTCCCTTCGCAGTGGCTTCACCCAGGTGGAAAGTGACAGCGTGAGCATCGCAGGCGTGGAAGCCAGAAGCGCCGGCACGAGTGTTCTAAGGTCCTATTACTTCCAGGTGCAGCGAGGCCGCGGGGACCGCGTTGGCTGAGGATCCGCTTGCCTTGGTGAACGGCATATATACAAAGACTAAAATTACTATCAACACGGGGAAAGGAAGCAGTTATTTTCAAATGCCTGCCAGGGCGGGCCCTGTGCTATGTGTTTATTTGCATCGTCGCAGCAAGCCAGTGAAGCAGGTGTGATATTCTCTGTTCTTCGGACAAGGAACAGGAAATGTGAGAGGAGAGGCAGTAACCCACTGGTCGCTGTGTCCCAGCTGCTGAGCTGAGCCGTCTGCCAGGGCTGTTCAGATAGGCAGTGCTGAAAGCAGAATGCACGAGGGGGGCTGGAAGGCCCATGCTTAAAGTGCTGGGATTGTAACATGATTGTTTTGTTCAAATATGTAAGTAAATATATCTTATCCTCCTATTCTTGTGCAGTGTGCTTCAGACACATTAATAAATAGTTCTCGCTGTTCTGTGAATGAGTTTCATGGCACCGCGTCCTAGCTGCAAGGAGACTGGTGTGACTCGACAGTGGTGCCCCTGGACTCAGGCCACATGGCGTCGTGGGCATATCCTGCAGTGTTTTTAATTGCATGCAAGAGGAATAGCGAGCTGGCTAACGAACACCCGGAGAGGAATGTACTGGAAGGTAGAAAGTAGCCTCCTAGGTCGGGGGAAGGCTGGAGAGGCAGGCGTGGAGCTGGGGAAGCCAGGCAGCAGACAGCAACCACAGCCTGCTCCAGAGAGGTCTGGCTTGCACCGTCCCCGGCTCCGCCACAGTGCCCACTGTTCTTCTGTCACCGCCACCCTCAGAAACCTTCCCAGCTGTCCCCGAGGGACTGTGTCTTCTTGAGACTCAGAATGCCAGAGGTGTGTGTGTGTGTGTGTGTGTACACATTCTGATTTGCCAAGGCTGTGACACGCCCACATCAAGGCCAGGATGGGAGCGTCTGGCCCCTCAGCTTCAGTGGTAGGTGCTCCCAACCAAGACTCACAGTGAAAACTCCTTTAAAAATAGGAAGGACAGATTCCTCGGAAACGTCAGGACACCAGTCTCCTGGTATCCCGTACCAGGCTACTAGTACTATGGCTGCCCAAGGCCCCGATAGACTGCTTCCCATGTCCGCACTTTAACAACAATGCTTTCCCTAACAGCGACCAGAGTGCTCTACAGAGCCAAGACCAGGGGCAGTCACTTCCCCAGGAGAACATCCAGACTTTTTTTAAAGATAAGGTTTATTTGGGGATAATTCAGGCTTACAGAAGTTGCAATGACAGTACAGAGAATTCCCATCTGCTCTTTACCCACTTCCCCTCATGTTAACACTTTTAGAACCAGCGCCTTTGAAAACCCATGGTGTTTGTTAGCTCCTGGAACTGGCTTCAAGTCCCAGCTCGGGGTCTGTCACAGTTTTGCTTGATACCCTGAAAGTCGCGGCCCGAGTGCTGACGCAGTGCCGATGCAGCAGAGGAGGAGCGGAGAGGAGAAATGAGCTGCAGTAAATACCACACAGCAAGAAAGGAAGCCTGTTAGGTTAAGAAGATGAAGGAAAAATCCAGGTAAGCGGAGATACAAGGGGCTTTGCTGAAGACACAGGGAAAGGGGCTGGGGTTTTGCCCAGAGACTAGGATCAGATAAGGGAAAGCTGAGTACGGTCCACCTGAGAGGTCTGGACACAATGACTAGGAAAGCAGTCTGGTCCAGGTGCTCTGTTCTCAGCTGCAGCGCCAGGCTGAGGTCATATCCGTGCGGCGGCCCTACCCAAGAACGTGTGCAGCTCTAGCGATCCCTGCTCTGGGGTGCAGGGGGCCTGGTAGGGAGTCTTCACGGGAACACAGGAAGCTCTGGGAGCCCCTGTGAGTCTGGCAGATGGGCTCCTGCCAGAAACGCGTGGTCTGCCGAGGTGTGGTGCCAGGCCCCACGAAGAGCGGTCATGAAATAGGCCATGCTTGCAAGCCTTGCAAGTGCAGCTCTGAAAGGCTTCTGCAGCGCCACGCAGTGAGCACTGCCCGCTGGGGACGATGGCCTGCGTGGCCTTCTAGTTCCACGGAAGCACACAGGTCTCTGAGCCTTCCTCGGGTCCTTCTGCTACCTCCTGAGGAAGCCCAAGATATTCTGTATGAAAAAGACATAAAACATTAAATAAATCTCCCTAGCAATTGACCACAAGTGAAGTCTTTACAAATTCCAAAACCCGAATTGCTAATTATAATTCAGCAATTCCTTTTTTAAAAAAAGAGTGCCTTTGGTGTGGGTGGCAGCCAGTCACTGTCTCTCTCATGTCGATGTCTCTCTCTCTTCCTCCCTCTCTCCCTCCCACTCTGTCTGAAGATAAATGCAAAAATGTCCTCAGGTGAGGATAAAAAAAAATAAAATTACTGTACCAATAATTAGAAGATATGATAGGAAAAGTATCCCATCAGAGTAACAGCAGAAATTATATCATGACATTATCTTTAACAAAAAACTATGGAGAAAACACATAAAGCTTTTCTAAAGAATAGGAGATATTCCATGTTTGTGGATAAAATTACTATTTTACAGAGGAAGTAAATTGAAAGCAATAGCAATAAGGTTGAAAAAATTCTTAAAGTAGAATGTGAAAAATGATTATGAAATGTATGCGTACATTTTGTATGTAAAAGGTGCAAGAATAGCTAAGGCAATCTTGGAGAAACAAAAGGCTACTGGATGGGGAGGAGAACTGCCCTGTGAGTTATGAGACAAAATGAAACTAGTCACTGAGAAAAAGTGGTGTCAGTGCATGAAGAGCCACACAGAAGATCAAGAAACAGATCCATGTGTATTTGGGAATTTTGTATATAATATCAATGACATTTTTTTTTTTTTTAATTAACACATTATCTTATTTTATTTATTTTTATTATCTTTATTGTTGAATGTATTGCAGATGTTTCTCATTTTTTCCCCATTGATCCCCTCCTCCCCTCTCCCGTCCCCCTTCTGCCTTTCCCCACACTGTTGTCTGTGTCCATTGGTTATGCATATATACATATAAGTTCTTTGGTTTATTTCTTCCCAACCCCCAACCCCCTTCCCTTTGAGATTTGTCAGTCTAGCAACCAATTTGTACTTCTTAATCCCTTCGCCTTGTTCCCCCATTCCCCCAAACCTCCTCCCATCTGGCAACCAACAAAATGTTCTCTATATCTATGAGAATGTTTCTGTTCTGCTTGTTCATTTTGTTTATAGATTCAATTGTTGATAGATATGTATTCATTGACATTTTGTTTGTTCATATTTTTTATCTTTTTCTTCAAGAAGACCCTTCAACATTTCATATACTAACGGCTTGGTGGTGATGAGCACCTTTAGCTTTTCCTTGTCTGGGAAACTCTTTATATGGCCATCGATTCTAAATGATAGCTTTGCAGGAGAGAGTGATCTTGGTTGTAGGTTCTTGTGGTTCATCACTCTGAATATTTCTTGCCACTTCCTTCTGGCCTGCAAAGTTTCTTTTGAGAAATCAGCTGAAAGTCTTATGGGAACTCGCTTGTAGGTAACTAACTGCTTTTCTCTTGCTACTTTTAAGATTTTCTCTTTGTCTCGAACCTTTTGCATTTTGATGATGATGTGTCTTGGTGTGGGCCTCTTTGTGCTTCCTGGACTTGTATGTCTGTTTCCTTCACCAAGTTAGGGAAGTTTTCTGCCATTATTGTTTCAAATAGGTTTTTGATTTCTTGTTCTCTCTCTTCTTCTGGCACCCCCAAGATGCGAATGTTGGCACACTTGAAGTTGTCCCAAAGGCTCCTTACACTCTCCTCATTTTTTTGGATTCTTTTTTCTTTTTGCTGTTCTGATTGGGTGTTTTTTGCTTCCTTCTATTCCAAATCGATGGTTTGCTTCTTGGCTTTACCTACTCTACTATTGGATCTGTGTAAATTATTCTTTATTTCAGTTAGTGCCTCTTTCATTTCTGACTGGTCCCTTTTCATGTTTGTGAGGCCCTCACTAAGTTCGCTGAGGTTCTAAGTCCATTGAGCATCCTTATAAGCAGTGTTTTGAACTCAGCATCATTAGGTTGCTTATCTTCATTTCACTTAGTTCTTATCCTGGGGTTTTGTTCTGTTCTTTCATTTGGGACTTGTTTCTTTGTCTCCTCATTTTGGCTGCCTCCCTGTGTTTGTTTCTGTGTATTACTTAATGAGAGGTATGGGGCTAGTTGAGACCAGATGCTGCTTGTTTGAAAGAATTTAGGAAAACCTGAAGCAGGATCCAAGACAGGCCAATTCTATGGTTAAGCAACTGGCAACAGCTTGGGCGGGCCTGAAAGTTGGGTGAGGAGGGGCCTCAGGGAGTCAGCAGGGCAGGGCTACCAGTGTGAGCCAGGTGGCTGGAGTCCCAGATATGGCAGCTGTCTGCCGCCCCAGGGAAGGGCTCACCAACGGAACAAAGGCCTCTGACAGCACGTTTGTCCCCGAGGAAGCCCCCTCTCCAGCCCTCGCTCCAGTGCCAAACAGCTCAGTTCTTTCCTGTATGTCTCTGGCGCCCCTTCAGCTGCCTCCCCTCCAAGCTTAGAGGGAGAGAGTCCGATAAGTCCGTGTGCGGGCCCTTTAAGGAGCTGCCTGGGGCTCCAGCCGCTTCAGCCTCCCTGAGCCTCAGTTCTTGCTGGTTTTTCCAGCCAGAAGTGATGGTGATTCTCTTCCTGGCACTGGAACCCTGAGCGGGGCGCCTGGTGTGGGACGGGGACCCCTCAGTCCTCAGGAAGGACCTTCCCAGCTGAGGTGTCCTCCTGATTTTTATCCGCCACACGTGGGTGTGGGACCAGCCCGTCCACCTCCGCCCCTCCTACCAGTCTCCATGTGGCTGCTGCTTTAATTCCGCAGTTGTAGGACTTCCATTCAGCTCAATGTCAGGCGGTTCTGAATGATGGCTGTTCAGTAGTTTAGTTGTAACTTTAATGTGTTTGTGGGAGGACGTGATACCACGGTTACCTACCCGCCATCTTGACCAGAAGTCCAATACCAACAAATCTTATGGGATTACAGAGTAATTATGTCTCCCACTAATCCCTGAGATGATGATACATTTAGACCCTGCCAACAATGTATATGCTCTTAAAACTCTTGGCCTTTCTTTCTATTCATTACAATGGTCTCTCTCCCTCTCCAGCATGAGCCTCATTTACAGAGGCAGAGATTGTGTTAACAAAGTGGCTAAGGGCACGTTACCACAGACCACCTCCCTGGATGCTAGCCAATATGTACAAGGCAGGCAATGTATACAACATACCATTACCTGGGCTTAGGCACCTCTAAGAAACTAGAGATTTAAAAAATCCACATATAAGTGCATTGATGTAGTTCACACTTGTGTTGTTCAAAGTTCAACTGTATATACACATATTTTAAATCATTATGTTGTGCACCTAAAATCAAGACAGTGTTATATGTCAATTATATCTCAACTTGACAAAAACCTATATATCTCACTTTACGGA